GGGAACTCCACGAGGAAAACCTGGATCCACCGCTTCCCACAACCGAGCGAGGACAGGGAGGAGCAGAGGCCGGGCGGAGGGAAAGAAAGGAGCGATAGGAGGAGGTCGTGAGAAGCCGCAAAACCGCCCGAGAGTCCGCCTGTGGTGCATTTGGGCTGGCCGTTTGTCCAGAGACAGATTTCCAGATTTCTCGCCTTTGCAAAAAACCAAACCAAACCAAAAAACCACCCATGCTCCTCCTGAATATCCTTTACACAGGCCTATTCCCAAAACCAAACTAAATTTCAGGGCTATTTCAAGTAGGCAAAGTGCTTCTCCTGGATGCCTCTGGATCCTAACATCCTCTGAAATCCTAAGAACAATAAAGCAGGCTGGTCTGGCTGGTTGGTGCCATCATGGGTGGCTGATATTATATTGATTTATATTCCAGCTTTCTTCCTTGCAAAACCCAATATGACTCCCAGCCTGTCCCTGCTAGGTCAGAGAGAAAAGCCTCTGTTTAGGATCCTGGCTGAATAGCTCAGTGGTTTTAGTAATCTGGTTGTGGAGCCAGAGATTAGTTCAGTTTCCCCACTTGTGCATCCCAAAAGAGCCAGCCTGTGTGGCCTTGGGCAAGCTGCATAGTGCCCGGAGGCCCCCAGAAGAAGGGAAGGGTCAACCACTTCTGAGTTCTCTCTACCTACAAAACCCTGGAGTCACCATACAGTAATTCAGAACTGACAGCATGCAATTATCATTAATCAAATAGGATCTGAAGACTGGACATGCTCCTAGAGGGAGATACTGTCTTTCAGACAGCTTGGACCTAAGACATAAAAGGCTTCATAGATAATCCCTAGCACTTTGAATTGTGTTCACAAATGAAAGTTTTAATTATACAATACACTCCTGGCCTCCACCAAGATCTGGCCCTCTAGGCTCAGAACTGAATCCAGAGGTACACCCAAGCTGTGAACCTGTATTTTCAAGGGGAGCATGATCCTGCCTACACAAGCTGGATTTCTCTTCCCTGACCTGCCTTTCACTGGACAAGGACCACTTCTGTCTGGATTAAATTTCAATTTGTTCTTTCTCATTCAGTCCAATAATTTATTTAAAAACCACACTCAGGCAACCAGTCATTCAGGGGAAGCTTGCCTGAAGAGAAAGGACTTTTCCTGCCTGTGAAAGATGGGGCCAGCATGGCTTCCTGTAGGAGGGAGTTCCAAAGTCTGGGAGCAGTGACAGAGAAGGCCCTCTCCTATGTCCCCACCAAACGCACCTGTGAAGCTGGTGGAAACAAGAGAAAGGCCTCTATTGGTGATCCTAACACCTTGGCAGGCTTATAAAGAGAGACACAGTCCTTGAGATAGCTTGGGCCCATTTGTTTAGGCTTTATAGGTTAGAGCCAGTACTTTGAATTGTGCCCAGAAATAGACCAGTGGCCAGCGGAGTTGCTGTAACAGAGAGGTTATGTGATCCCTGTAACCAGCCCCAGTCAGCAATCTGGCTGCCACGTTTTGGACCCATTGACATTTCTGGACACTATCCAAAGTCAGCCCCATATAGAGCGTGTTACAGTCATCCAGATGAGATGTAATTAAGGAACATGCACTGTGGCAAGATCAGACCTCTCCAGGAATGGACACAGGTGGTGCACTATTTTTAATCATGCAAACACACTCCTGGGCATCGCTAAAACCTGGGCATCCAGGCTCAGAGATGAATCCAGAAGCTCCCCAAAGCCGTGCACCTGTGTTTTCAGAGGGGGTGTAATCCCATCCAGCACAGGCCGGATCTCTATTCCTTGGTCTGCCTTTCAGCTGACCAGGAGCACTTCTGCTTTGCCTGGACTGAATTTCACTTTATTCACCCTCACCCAACCCATTACTGATACCAGACATCAATCTAGAGTCAAGAGAGCTTTCCTAGATTTGGATGGCAAGGAGAGATAAGAGTTGGGTGTCATCCACATACTGGTGATACCAAACCCCAAAACTCCAGACAGCCTCTCCCAGTGGCATCATGATGATGTTCATAGGAGACACAACTGAACCCTGAGGGACCCAAAAGGTCAGAGTGGCCAGAGTGTCGAAGAAGATTCTTTCAGCACCACCTTCTGAGTTCGCTCCTCCAGGAAGGACGGGGCCCATTATAAAACAGTTGCAAGGAGACAGTCGCCACTCCTCCTACCCACTTGACCAGTCCCCTTGTGGCAGGCTTTATATGCTAGGAATGGCAAGGGTCCAGAAGGCATATGGTAGCCTTTACCTCTCAAGGGCCCCGTCCACATCATTGGGGTGCAGAAACTGAAATTCATTCACTAGCATAGGGCAAGCAGGGACCATAATTACATTTACAGGCTCTGTATCAAGCACAGCATTCAAGTCAGAACAAATCTGAGCAATTTTTTTTCCTACAAAGTGTTGTGCAAATTCTTCCCAGCAAGCTAGAGTTTGGTCTGCATTGTTTTCCTTCAGGCTGTTATACAATAGGCCCTTGACCACTCAAAAGAGCTCCCTGGTAAATGAGGTGGCCAGTTTGGCTCTACTTTATAAATCAATATACATAGAGCTGTTGATCAGTACAATATAATATTCATTTGATTGACAGTTTGAGTTATAGGTAGTCCAACACATTTATTTATTTATTTAAAATATTTTACACCACCTTTTTCCTTAAAAGGGACCTAAGGTGGCTTACATCATTAAAATACAATGTTTAAAAACTAAAAACGGGATGCAATTTTTAAAAGAATCAAAACAAATAGCACACTAAAAAGACTAAACAAAATCAACACACACACAATTAACAGCTACAAGGTAGAATAATCCATTTTAAAACTCCTCTCAGACAGCTAGTCACTCAGGGAAAGCCTGACTGAAGAGAAAGGTCTTCTTCTGCTTGTGGTAAGCCAGGGAAAGTTGGGGCCAGCCTGGCCTCCAGTGGGTTGCTTGTGGTAAGCCAGCAAAGTTGGGGCCAGCCTGGCCTCCAGTGGGAGGGAGTTCCTGAGTCTACATTTTCCCCATTAGGAAAAGGCACCTGTGTGCCTCCAACATCTAAGCAACTTGTAAAAAACAATTAAGTTAGTTCACCAAAATTAACCTAAGCACTGCTACACCAGTTGAATTTCATGCTGCTCTTCAAACTGTAGGCCTTCCATCAAGAAAAAAGATGGCAAGTTAGTATTCTGAAGGAATGAGAGCATAGTTATAAAGGGGGGTGTTGTGATGGGTTATACAGTTCCAGGAATGTTTTCAGTCACTGAGGAGACATTGTTTTAAACGGTGAGGAAGGAAAGCAACATACAGTATTCTCTCTCTCTCTCTCTCTCCCCCTCTCTTGGTGAGGAAGGAAAGCAACATACAGTACTCTCTCTCTCTCTCTCCCTCTCTCTCATTCTTGTTGGTAAACCAGCCTTCCTCAACCAGACACTGTCATCCGGAGTTGTGGGGCCCAACCTCTCCTTTTTTCCAACTGCAGTGGATGCTGTTCCGACCCTTGAATGCTGCTTAGAGATGAAACTGGAGTGGATGAGGGCAAATGGACTGAAGGATGCTGCTTAGAGACGATACTGGAGTGGATGAGGGTAAATGGACTGAGGTTGAGTCCGGACAAGACGGAAATCTTGCGTGTGGCATCAGTGGGTCAGGAAACTCCTTTGGGAAAGTGATTCTTTCTGCAAACAATGGGGTTTGCAACTTAAAGTGACTCTTTCTGCAAACAATGGGGTTTGCAACTTGGGCATCTGGATCTCACCATGGAAACCCAGGTGACATCTGTGGCATGGGCAGCCCATTTC